GTACGTGTTGAAGGTCTGCTATATACCAGGCACTGTTCTAGTTACTGGGGACAGGGCAGTGAACAAAGCAAAGTCCGTCTTCTGATGCTTCTTAGATTTTAGGATAGCAGATACTAGAGGGAAAAAATAATAATAAGTCAGGGTAGGGAGATAGAGAGTGAAAGATCAGGGAGTGATGTTTTGCAGGGGCACAGGAAGCCCTGTCTGATAGGTGACACTGAGTTGATCTTAAGAAAGTGATAACCGGCCATGTGTGGTGGCTCACGCCTGTAATCTCAGCACTTTGGGAGGCCAAGGCAGGCGGATCACAAGGTCAAGAGATCGAGACTATCCTGGCCAACATGGTGAAACCCCCATCTCTACTAAAAATGCAAAACTTAGCCGGGTATGGTGGCACATCCATAGTCCCAGCTACTCGGGAGGTTGAGGCAGGAGAATTGCTTGACCCAGGGAGGTAGAAGCTGCAGTGAACTGAGATCACGCCACTGCATTCCAGCCTGAGTGACAGAGCGAGACTTCATCTCAAAAAAAAAAAAAAAAAGAAAGAAAAAGAAAGAGATAGCCATATAGCTATCTGGGGGAAGGTCCCTCCTCTAGTGCAAAAACCCTGGAATGTGCTTGGAATATTCACGAACATTGAGTTGGTTAGTGTGACAGCTGTGGAGTAGGCTAGGAGAAAATGATGGGAGATGACATTAAAAAGGTAGCCAAGAACCATCATACAGGGTCTTAGAGACCCTTGGAATAACTTTGCATTTTATTTGAAGTGCTGTGGGAGACGACAGGCAAGCAGAGGAATAACATGATCTGACTTAATGTGTTTAAAGAATTGCTTTAGCAGCCTGTGAAAACTACATTATAGAGGAGCAAGACAGAGGCAAAAAGATTAGGTGGGTGGCTGTTGCAATAGCGCAGGTGAGAGATGGTAGTGGTGAAGGTGGTGATGGCAACGAGAAGTGATCAGGCTCTGGGCATTTTTTCCAAGGCAAAGTCAGTAGAATTTTCTGATGGTTGGATATAGAGATGAGAAAGTGAAGTTATGGGTAATTATACATGTCTGAAAAATCTGAGTGATCGGAGCTGCAGTTCACTGAGTTGAAGAAGACAGATGGAGGAGGAGGTAGAGGGTAGGCAAGCAGGAGTTTGATTTGGCTCATGTGAAACTTTTGATGCCTGTTAAATATCCAAATGGAGACGCTGAGTAGGTAGCTGGATATACAAGACTTGAGTTCAGGAAAAAGGTGAGGGTTGGAAACAAAACTGGGTATTTCAAACCAAGAGACTGAATGAGATCACCTAAGGAATCCTCATAGATTAACAAAAAAGTGTAAGAACTGAACCACCCAGAGACATTTTGCATTGCTATAAAGGAATACCACGACTGGGTAATTTATAAAGAAAAGAGGTTTATTTGGCTCGTGATTCTGCAAGTTATGCAAGAATGGCACCTGCATCTGTTCAGCTTCTGGTGAGGGCTTCAGGAAACTTACAATCATAGCAGAAAATAAAGGGGGACAGGCATGTCACATGGTGAGAGAGGAAGAAAAAGAGAGAGAAGAGAAGGTACCAGGCTCTTTTAAACAACCAGCTCTCCCATGAGCTCACTTATACCATGGGGGAGGCAACAAACCATTCATGAGAGATCTGCCCTCATGACCCAAACACCTCCCACAAAGCCTCATCTCCAACACGGGGGATCACATGAGATTTGGAAGGAACAAATATCCAAATCTTATCACTTGGGAAGGAGAGAACTGAGAGAGTAAAGTCTCACAGGCCAAAATGTCTCAAGAAAGAGGGAATGATTAACTATCAAATGTTTTAAATAAAATTTTAGTTTACATAGGCAATTACTTTCAAATTCAGCATAGACTTTACTTTCTTTTTCAGTTCTTCTTTTGAAAATATTCTTTCAGATATTTTTTGGTGGGGTACCCCCAGGACTTTTCACTGATCTCATTCCACCCAGTTCAGGCCCCTTTCCATTTCGTAATAATTTTTCTCCATATCTTCCCAGAAACTTTGGCTTCGCAGGAATAAGGAAAGCTGAGACAAGAAACAAAACAGTAAAACTGTTTGAATGAAAATGAAATGTCTGCTCCCAACCCACCTCTAGGTAAATTTATACAGGATATCTACTCTCCATCCTCATTCTGTTTGCCAAGATTTCTAGGATTCATAATCATGGCACTTTTTACTATTTCTTTATTTACTTATTTACTATTGCCATTGCCACATTTGTACTAGTATGTTGCACAAGTGGATGATACCTCATAATGGGAACATTACTGGATTTAAAGTCATCACAATGTTTTAGTTTCTGTCCTGGCTGTGCTAATAAAATGCTGTGTAGCGTTGGGGAAAATGCTTCTCTGGCTGTTAATAAAATGAGGTCAAGATTAGTAAACAAGTTGTCAACCTGTGACCCTAGTTAAAAAAATGTCTTCTTGTACGTAGCAGAGCAGCTCCCTCGCTGCGATCTATTGAAAGTCAGCCCTCGACACAAGGGTTTGAAAAAAAAAAAAAGAAAAAAAAAATGTCTTCTTTACAATTATGGTCAGATATTATGCTCAATCTCTTCTTATTAGCTCTTGTTTGCAGATTCCTTTGGATTTTCTACATCCACAGTGATATGGTCTGAAAATAACAATTATTTGTCTCTCTTTTTCCAATCCAGTTATATCTTATTTATTTTTCTTGTCTCATTGTTTTGGCCAAGACACCAGTTAATAAATACTATCAGTGACTAGAGAAACCATTGCCTTATTCCTAACTTTGATACTATTTCTTCTAAAGGTTCAGCATTAAGTATGATGTTTACTAAAGTTTACTAAAAATTTTTCAAATTATAAATCCATATTTAAGTTTATCAAAGTTTTTACTATGTCTTCTGAGATGATCATATGTTGTTTTACATTTAATCAATATGATGGACTATGCTGATAAATTTTTGAAACATTCACCCATTCTCACATTCATGGGACAAATGCCATTTATTCATGGTGTGCTTTTATATGTCAACAGCTTTGATTTGCTAAAGTGTCATTTAGGATCTTTGCAACTATCTTCATAACGATGCTGGTGTGTAATTTTCTTTTCCTGAATTTGCATGACACTTTTCAAGTGTTGAAAGAAAAGAACTGTCAACCTAAAATTTTATATTCAGGAATAAGGGTTAAATCAAGACACTCTCAGGTGAAGGAAAACTAAGATAATTTGTTAGCAGTAGGCTTATCATAAAAGAGTGCCTATAGAATATCTTGAAACAGAAAGAAATAATTAAAGAAGAAAACTTGAAGACCAGGTGTGGTGGCTCAGCCTTCAGTAATCCCAGCACTTTGGGAGGCCAAAGTGGGCAAATTACCTGAGATCAGGAGTTCAAGACTAGCCTGGCCAACATGGCGAAACCCAATCTCTACTGAAGATACAAAAAGTAGCTGGGAATGGTGGCATGAGCCTGTAGTCCTAGCTACTCAGGAGGCTGAGGCAGGAGAATCACTTGAACCCAGGTGGCAGAGGTTGCAGTGAGCTAAGATCATGCCATCACACTCCAGCCGGGATGACAGAGCAAGACTTTGTCCAAAAAAAAAGAAGGAAACTTGAAACATCAGAAATAAAGAAATAACAATGAAAAGAGTTAAAATATGGCTAAATATAATAGATTGTCCTTTTCCTCTTGAGTGTTCTGAATTACGTTCACAAATTGAAGCAAAACTTACAATATTACCTGATATAGTTCTCAATGAATATAGACAATTTATTTAAGACAAGTATAGAGATAGAATAATAAAGAAAACCTAATATAGGTAAGGATTTTATACCCAGTGGAACTGGTAAAATGTCAACAGCGGTAGATCAAAAGTTATGTATGTAGAATGTAATGTGTACAGCAACCACCAAAAAAACTCTTCAAAAAGATACAGTATAGATAAATCAAAATGGGATTATAAAAAATATTCCCATAACACACAGGATAGCCAGGAAAGTAAAACAGAGGAACAAAACAAACAAACAGACAGAAACCCAGGAGAAACAAAGAGAAAACAACAAAACGGCAAACTTAAGACTGATACGTAAATAATTATATAAGGCAAAGAAATAAATAGCTCCACAATACAACCATACAAGTATAACTGCTGATTTTTGACAGATACAAGAATATTTCAATGTAGGAAAAATAATATTTTCCACCTCGTGATACTGGAACAATTGAGCACTCACAAACAACAACAACAACAACAACATGAATCTCAACCTAAACTTCATACCTTATGTTAAAATTAAGTCAAATTGGATCATACATTTAGACATAAAACATAAAACTATAAAACTTTCAGGAGGAAACCTCTGGGCCTTAGTGGTGGTTAGAAAAAAAAAAACTGATAAGTTGAATTTCACCAAAAGTAAAATTTTTGCTCTGCAAAAGACCAAAAGACCCCATTAAGAAGATGAAAAGACAGGCTACAGACTAAGAAAAAATATTTGTAAACCACATATCTGACATATGACCTGGAACATATAAAGAATTGTCAAAACTCAACAGTAAAAAAAAGAAAGAAAGAATCTGATTATAAAATGGACAAAAGACATAAAACAGGCATTTCACCAAGGAGGATATGGACATATAGATGGCAAATAAGCACATGAAAAGATGTTCGACATGATTAGGCTTTAGGGAAATGCGAATTAAAACCACAATGAGGTATCACTGCAACACCTATTAAAACAGCTAAAATATCAAATGGAAATATACCAAATGCTGATGAAGATGGGGAGCAACTGAATCTGTCATAGATTGCTGGGGCAAAGTAAAATATTATATTAACTCTAAAATAGTTAAGAATTACTCAATCTCAAGTGGCCTGTTAGTACAGTAGTTAAGGTAGAGTCAGCAACTACAAGGTTGCTGGTTCAAATCATCAGTGGAAAAGCCTCTTGGGAAGAATTACTCAATCTCACGTGTTTATGCCATGACCCCTCCTACTTCTTTTACACATCAGCTGGGGAAGAGGTCTGAGGGAAGTGGGTTCATTTCAGCAGCAGCTGACTTCCAGAGAGCGATATGGCTGGCTCCTCAACATGCGTCACCCTCATGTACATCCTTTGGCAGCTCACAGGTGAGTCCAGCTAGAATCTCTTCCACTTGCCTGTCTTCCCCATCCTGAAATGTAGTTCCAGGTTTCTTCTTCCACTCTGGGCCTCTGGCTCAACTCAGGAGGCTCTGTGTTCTCTTCTAACATTTGCTTTTTACTAACTTCTGATCTCTGAATCTCAGGTCAGGAAGAGACTAGAGGGAGGGGGGAAAATGGCTGTGGGAATGGACTCCCCTACTGACCGTCCCAGGGATGAAGGAGCTGAAGGAAGGGCTGCTGGGTTTCAGAGACTATTTTTCTAATCCAGATTCTGCCATGAGTTAGATAAGGAATGTTTAAGGTTTCCTGGGCCTTGGAAACTTTATCTGCTAGCCCTCCCTCCTTTTGAGGGCAACTTTAAGAGCAAAATAACTGTACAGTTATGTATTTTATTTACTCATAAATGTATTTATAAAACTGTTTATACATAACAATAATAAGGCCGGGCGCAGTGGCTCAAGCCTGTAATCCCAGCACTTTGGGAGGCCGAGGCGGGTGGATCACGAGGTCGAGAGATCGAGACCATCCTGGTCAACAAGGTGAAACCCCGTCTCTACTAAAAATACAAAAAATTAGCTGGGCATGGCAGCTCGTGCCTGTAATCCCAGCTACTCAGGAGGCTGAGGCAGGAGAATTGCCTGAACCCAGGAGGCGGAGGTTGCGGTGAGCCGAGATCGCGCCATTGCACTCCAGCCTGGGTAACAAGAGCAAAACTCCGTCTCAAAAAAACAAAAACAAAAACAAAAACAACAATAATATAAATGGAAAGAACCACTTGAATTTTCTCTCCTTACTCAAGCAATCTAATCAATCTCTACTTAGAGAGCCAACTCATGTCGTAGACACTTAATGTTTAATCCACGGAGGACCCAGGACTGTTGTGCACCTGTCAGTGGTATTCTAGTCTTTGAAGATTTTTGTACTCTAAGGGCTCTCAAAAAGGATCAAGAGCCCCATAAGTGAGAAATCTCTCTTCTGTCATCAATCTCATGGAGTACCACCATGAGGTCGCCCTCTGGGGACTTCACATAACCGTTTCATTATGTGTCTGTGTACCTGAGTCTGCCTGAAGTGACTTGCCCAAGACCACACAGGCAGCTGGTGTCCCCAGTCCTTTCCCCTGCATTAGCTGGCCTTGTTAAGCGATCAGCATCAGCAGACTCTTACCCGCTTGGTATTCATCAGAAGTTTGTATTTTGGGAAAATACCTTGGGATTGATCAGAAGTACCAGGTGGTTCTGGAATAGGCTCTCACTTAAAAAAAAAAAAAAAAGCCACTCCCTGAACGAAAATGGTGAGCAGAAGTGGAACTTGAAGTAAGGTGGAGGGTTGTGGGGAATGACAGAGATTTTGAAAGCACCAGGTGTCCACTTGAAACCAGTGTACAAAAGGGCACAAGTCTGAAGAACTGCCAGGCAGGCCCTCCTCTGTCCTGCTCTGAAGGCTGTGGGCAGCCTGTGTAGTGTACCTCCTGAGGCTGAAAGGAGGCAGAGATTGCCCTGGAACTTTGACTTAGTAGCTGTATTATTGTGGGCAAGTTACTCTTTCCCTCCGAGCCTTGCTCTTCCCAGGTGTGTAACAGAGAATGAAATCTAAGTGGCAGAATGATTCTGACATTTTAAATGACATATCAAATGCAAAACAATTATTAAAATAATCACCATTTATTAAGTGACTACATCCATGGGGTTTTTCATACCATCTCCTGCAAGTCTACAAGACAGATGTCTTTATCCCTGTTTTATAGATGAGGAAACCTAGGCTCAGCAGAGAGATTCTGTTTCTTGGGCAAGATAACACAGCGTTTAAAAGGTAGCCAGAGATTGAGTTTTCAAAGCTAGTGCTTTTTTCATCACAAGCTGCCTGTCCCTGGACCAGGCACCAGAGAGGTGCTCACTACACGTGCATTTGAGCTGTATCTTCCTCGGGGAGTACCAATTGGGATTTCTTCCCTTGCTAGGTACATAAATCTGAGGTAGGAACTGGAAAGGCCCAAGAAGGACAGGTAGCTCTGTTTCCGGGATATGGAGGAATCAACAGGGAGTCACCCTGGCTAAACTCAGAGGGGCCAAGGAGCAGCTCTCATGGCCTCAGTATTCTTGTCTGAGAAATGGGCACAATAATTTGCCAATGATTAGATGATACAGTAGTGTCGAAAAGACTATCAACAAAAAGAAAACAAACAAGTGGGTGAGAGGAATTGGGAGAGTGTTGAAAAGAACCAGAAGAAACAAGGCGGGGCAGGAGATGAGTAAGCAGCAGAGTGGTGGGCAACGCAATGTGAATGTGGTAGGTTAGGGCCACAGTGTTGGAAAAGGTGTGTGGTGAACTGCGAAATTTTATTTTCTTTTCTTTTCTTTTCTTTTTTCTTTTTTTTTTTTTTTTTTTTTTTTGAGATGGAGTCTCACTGGAGTGCAATGGTGCAATCTCGGCTCATTGCAACCTCCACCTCCCGGGTTCAAGCAATTCTGCCTCAGCCTTCCAAGTAGCTGGGATTACAGGTGCCCTCCACTGCACCTGGCTAATTTTTTTGTTGTTGTTTGTTTGTTTTTTGTTTTTGTTTTGGTAGAGACGGTGTTTCACGATGTTGGCCAGGATGGTCTCGAACTCCTGACCTCATGATCCACCCGCCTCAGCCTCCCAAAAGTGCTGGGATTACAGGTGTGAGCCACCGCACCTGGCTGAAGTGGGAAATTTTTAAGCCTCTGTGGCTGCCTTGCATGGCATTGAATTATAATGCTCTTTTGTGAGTACATTCATTAAGGAGGACTTGAGTAAAGTTCAATGGATTTCAAACCACTTTGGGTTTTTTTGTTTGTTTGTTTAATCCATAGTTTCTTTTTATGAAATGAAATTTTACACAGAAACAAATACATAAATGACTCTATATGGTGGAAGCCTCTCTAACAGAGGTAAGTCCCATAGCCTCCTAGCCTGTGCTCACCCCTTAAACCTCCTCCTGAGCTCCCCAGAAATACACTGAGGCACTGCCACAGCCTCCTAGGGTAGCAGGGGGCACAGTCTGCAAAATCGAGCCTTGGCTCCTAATCCTGACCTTCCACTGGCTTGGGAAACATCACCATAACCCTCTGAATATCAGCCTTCTCATCTGTGAAATAGGATCAGACTAAATAATCCCTGACTCCTCCCAGCTCTGAGATGCTCCGGTCTGTGGTTTTCATGAGGAGAGTACCATAACACACTGGAGCATTTGGACAGAGGCACCAAGTGCTCAGAGAAGTGCTCGGGGTCGGGGCTGGAAAGCAGGAAGCAGGCTTTCCACTCGCCCCTCCCCGAAGTCTTACTGCTGTATCGCCACCCCTTGGTTCTGACTGCACTGATAGTGTACCTTTCTCATAATCAGGCTCCTTCCCTCCACTCAACTCTTGAGACTCTAGGGGACAGGACAGGAAAGGAGGTAACAACCAAGAGGAAAGGAAGGTGGCAAAGGGCGGGGCCTGTTGTCCCTTCCTGTTAGAGGGCATCTCACAGCTGACTTCCCCGCTGCAAAGACATCTGAGGCTTGGCTGGGGCAGAAAACAAAGGGTCCCCTGCTCCAGCTCCAGCTCCCTCCACCTCCAAAGGCAGGCAGGGGACAGGCGGGGGACAGCCGTCTTAACCTTCTGGCTCACTTTGCTGAGAAGCTATCCAAATGTGTTTGGGGCTGTTTCTCGTTTTTAGCTATCCGTGCAGAAATAAAACCAAAGATGGGAAGCCTCCTCCAGGCCTGACCCTTGTGCTCCCATTCCTGACCTTGTCACCTGCATCCCACCTTGTTGTTTAGGCTGGCCTGTACTTCTCAAAAATGCTTTCAAATCCGTATTCACACTTCATCTTCCCCAAATGCCTAGAAATTAAATGTTGTTATTTATTTCCCATAGAAGTGTTCAGAAACCAAAACTCGAAGTGGTAAATGGTGAAGCAGTAGTGGAAAAAACACAGACCTCAGACGGAGGAACTAACTCCTCTTCCCCATTGCAACACTTCTTCATTGGGGGCTTTTGGAACGTTACACCACTTCTCAAAACTCCAGTGTCAGCCAGGCTTGGTGGCTCAAGCCTGTAATCCCAGCACTTTGGGAGGCCGAGGCGGGTGGATCACGAGGTCAAGAGATCGCGACCATCCTGGTCAACATGGTGAAACCCCGTCTCTACTAAAAATACAAAAAATTAGCTGGGCGTGGTGGCGCGTGCCTGTAATCCCAGCTAGTCAGGAGGCTGAGGCAGGAGAATTGCCTGAACCCAGGAGGCGGAGGTTGCGGTGAGCCGAGATCGTGCCATTGCACTCCAGCCTGGGTAACAAGAGTGAAACTCCGTCTCAAAAAAAAAAAAAAAAAAAAAAAAAAGTCCTCAGTTATAAAGCAGGGCTTAAGCTGTAGCTCATGGGCTATTCTAAAGATCAGGAGAGACGGTGCCCATGGACCTGGCTTAAAAACCATGAGTGACACCAGGTGTCTGTTGCTGTTGTTATGATTATGGAGGCACCAGAATGGACCCAGGGTCCTGACTCCCAGTTAGGCCGGAGCTCTTTCTCCCTCTGCCACATGGAGAAGCCACCTCTACCCCTTTCTGGGCAGGAATTGCTGACCCCATCACTGGGTGATCTTGCCCCTAATCCTGTGGACCAATCATTGGCTAATTCACAGCAAAATGACATACTCGGTTACCACCCAAGGAGGATAGTTCTTTCTGGAGAATTTAAAGTGTAAGTGAGGTGAAATCAGTGGTCAAGTTTCAGGGGATATGTGTGAGGAGAGTTGGAGGAAAGAGCTTTGAACTAGAATTCACGGGTTCGAATAAGATTGAGATGAACAGAGAGGACGACAAAGCATGAACAACGGTGTGAGGTAGAAAGTGAGCTGAGGATCGGGAGACGGAGGAGGCCTGTTTGTGTGGTGGCCACACGTCAGTGGCAGCCCTGGCTACGTATCTTTCCACAGCAGTACATTGTCATCCTGGTCTTATACAATCAACCCATGTCACGTGATGCCCCTGAACTAATTACTGTGCAGGAGGAGGGTTACCACCTGAGCTGGGTATCCCAAACCATTTGGCATCTATGGGAAGAGGAATGGGTAAAATGGCTGTAGAAGAGGCATGTTACAATCTTCGCTGCACTGACTCAGATGAAAGGTTGGCACCTGAGGAGAGTGGAAGAATACCACGGGACCCAATCCTCTTGGGCCTTGTGGGCAGAGGTTGATATCCACTCTGTCTCCAGGGTCTCACTCTGTCATCCAGGGTGGAGTGCAATGGCACAATCATGGCTCACTGCAACCTCCACTTTCTGGGCTTAAGGGATCCTCTCACCTCAGCCTCTCAAATATCTGGGACCACAGGTGAGTGCCACTATGCCTAGTTATTTTTCTGTAGAGACAAGGTCTGGCTATGTTGCCCAGGCCAGTCTCAAACTCCTGGCCTCAAGTGATCCTCCTGCTTCAGCCTCCCAAAGTGCTGGGATGACAGGTGTGAGCCACCAATTCCGACATCTTCTCTTTTCATAACACATGTAGTTACTTATTTAGTGGCTGTCCACCAACTCCGTGAGTGCCAGAATCATGACTGTCTTGCTCTCCAGTTATATCCTTGGCTCCTAAACAATGGGAATGAAATAAATTCTTGTTAAAAGAAGGAATGACTGAATCTGACAAGTGTGACCTGCTTAGATATGGTAAAACTCTATAGGGTCACATACTGCAGGTGTAAAACCATCACAGAAAGAACTTCAATTCAGTCTTGGACAGCTCAAAAAGAAGTCTCTTGTTTCTGGATCCCTTTTCCCAGTCAGTTCGGAAGAAGAAGCAAAATTGGTTTGGAGTCTCCAATCCTGCCCCTATTCTCTGAGCCTATGTTCTGAGAATGGCATGGAGCTACTGTTTTCTTTCATTACCCCCTCGTCTTACCCTGAAGATACATTTAAGATAGAATATACTATATATAGGCTCATATTGGTAATTTGCCCTGTGTCATCCTCCAATTTTATTCTAACAAGAAACAATGAATTTGGTGACATTCTTGTATCTCACCCAAGTCATGTCCCTTGTCATTTACCCTGAGAACACAGCACTGTGGAAGGGTGAGGGGAGTAATTGCACACATGCCAGCAACTAAAGCCACATCCTGGTCGTTTTGCCACTTCGTCACCTTAAATATTTCTCCAAAACGAAATGTGAAAATGAAATCACTTAAAGATTGCCCTAAGTGTAGAAATTGCACCCACTTGGGGACAAGTGATGCCCCATCTTTATTTGACATCAAAATATTCACCACTTTCATCTTCGCTGTTGAAGTAAAAGAACAAATGCATTAACTGATCAAAAATTCAGGATAAAATTAATTTTATCTGTAACATTCCCTGGCACTATTTTGACTTGACACTCCTAAAGATGAACAAAGAGAGCAGTTGAAAAAACATCCTGGCCTTAATATTAAGGAAGCAGAGAGAATAGTTGTTTTTTTTTTTTTTAATCAGATTACTGAATGGGTTGATTTGATAAAAGCTTGAGTAATCCAAAGTATATATGTACTGACTGATACATTATAGAGGGAAAAATGTGTGCTCCTAAATGATACTTAGGAAGTAAATTGGTACTTTTAGAGATACATTTATTATTTTTATTATAATGAGCAAAGGGTCAGTTTGAGGACAAGTAAAATCAAAATGCACATGTCTTTACAGGGCAATAGCTTTGCTCGAATGAACTCAATCACAATGCGAGTGCTGAGGCTTATTGTATTGACTCTAGAGTCACCACGGGGCTACTGCCTCCTGAGAACACAGTTACTTCCTTGACTACCTACCCTGCCTCACCTTTAAGGATTTAATCTTAGTTTTTGCATTTCTATCAGCCTTGAATAAGTTCTTTTCATTTCTGCTATTTAGTTTTCTCATCTATAAAATGTGTCCTTCATGATTTCAACCCTGTGGGTTTTGGTGTGTTCTCTGCCTCCTGTTATGTGGCTTGAGTAAGTCACTTACCCCCGCTGTGCCTCACATTCCCGATCTATAACATGGGGATATAAAGAATGTTTCCTCTAAGGACTGTTTTAAGAATTAAACAAGGCTGAGTGTGGTGGCTCACGCCTGCAATCCCAGCACTCTGGGAGGGCAAGGTGAGCAGATCACTTGAGGTCAGGAGTTCAAGACCAGCCTGGCCAACATGGTGAAACCCCAGCTCTACTAAAAATACAAAAATTAGCCGGGTATGGTGGTGCACACCTGTAGTCTCAGCTACTCAGGAGGCTGAGGCAAGAGAATCACTTGAACCCAGGAGGCGGAGGTTGCAGTGAGCAGAGATCGTGCCACTGCTCTCTAGCCTGGACAACAGCGTGAGACTGTATCTCAAACAAACAAACAAAAAAAAAGAGTTAAACAAGATCATAATTTGTGCTTTAAAACTACTAGTCCCAAACTAAATTATCTCACTGCTCTGTGCTATTCCCCGAGTCTGCTGCTCAAGTGTAATAGGTAAGAATAAGATGACACACTCCCCACAGCTGTTCACTGGTAGTGCTCAGCCGGCCACTTCTGGAAGTTTCTTCAGCAGACATTCTTAACTGTTTTTCACCTACAACCACATAACCAGTGATTTTTTTTTTTTATAAGTCATTCTCTCTGGGAGTGAACTAAGATTGTTGTGAAACATCAATTTCTAATCTCAGTGCTTCCATGTGAGCACTTACTTAACAGGGTAACATGTGAGGAAACTCCGTGTGAGAAAATTCCAAAAGGTTTCCCAGGAGCTGCTTGCGTTGGACCAAGTGGGTTTCTCAGCTCTCCCTAGGACCCAAAGCGGGTGAGTCATTGGTGGCAAGGACAGGGAATTGGGTTTATTTTATGGTTCTCTGTATTTATAGGTTCAGCAGCCTCTGAAGCCATGAAGGAGCTAGTTGGTCCCCTTGGTGGAGCCGTGACATTCCCCCTGGTGTCTAACGTAAAGCAAGTTGACTCTATCGTCTGGACCTTCAACACAACCCCTCTTGTCACCATGCAACCAGAAGCGGGCACTATCATAGTGACCCAAAATCGTAATAAAGAGAGAGTATCCTTCCTAAATGGAAGCTACTCCCTGAAGCTCAGCGAACTGAAGAAGAATGACTCAGGGGTCTACCACGTGGAGATATACAGCTCATCCCTCCAGGATCCCTTCACCCAGGACTATATGCTGCATGTCTACGGTGAGCAGAATCAGTTCCAATGGTGGATGGCTGTCTTGGTGAGGTGGTGAGCTCCTTGACATGAGAATGTTTAAGCAGAGCCTGGATAAACTCAGAGATGCTATAGGAAGCAGCATGGTGCAGCGGATGGCTGATACGTCCAGTGGCCATCACATAGATCAACGTCAAATGCTGGCTTCTTTATTTAGTCACATGACCTTAGCCAAGTTACTTAATTTCTTCGAGTCTTAGTTTCCATATCTGTAGTGGGGAGGAAAGCAATACTTACCTTAGGAAGATTTTTTTGGCCAAAGTATCGATTACACCTCTTCCTCTACAGATTTCAACCAATTGATACAAAGATGCAAGAAAGAGGGGATAAAAATATCAGCATTATTTCTGGTAAATGTAGACAGGAGAAATGCTTCCTCCCAAGTCTGGACCTTGGCACTCATCCAGGGAAGTTAAAATTACAAAACAATTACTCAAACAGCTACAAGAAGAATAGCTGCCTCACTCACTGAGCCACAATATCACTGACATCAGGAGATGGGCCTCCAGACTTGCCTGTAGGAGGCAGGCCTGCACCTGATCCAGGTGGCTTCCGTATAGACATGGTTGAAGCCAACAGAAGATACGCATTCTGCAGAGTAACTGGCTGGGGGTGGGGGGGGGGGGAGGGAAAAGGGCAAACCACATTTGAACAGCAACCTTTAACGTCTCAAATAACGTTAACATCTACCATGAGTGGAGAAAGGTAAATGATGACTGTCAGACTCTTACCATCTCCCCAATGAACCAATTACTCATCCTCTGATGCAGGGGAGTGAGTGCAAGGTAGAGAAGGGGGCCAGAAAGGCTACTCCAATACTATTTTCTCCTAGAAAGTAAAGTGAACTCTCCTAGAGAGTAAAGGGAAGCCTGAGGACAGAGACTAGGGAGCCTCTAGAATAGAAAACATTAGTGGACATCTAACATGCGTTTAGCACAGTGCTTCCCCTGTGGCTATGCTTAGTAAAAGGCAGTTACATTCTTGTTGCGTTATTATTTCTATCATTCTTGTTGTTACTGTTACTATATACCTGTGGGAAAGCAGACTTAGATAAGTCTCCTTTCCAGATAAGAATGAGAATTCTGCTCTGAATTACTGCTTTTTCTCCAGTCTGGAGCTTCCAGAGAGATTCAGGTCCAAGGTATCCAAGGATAATTCAGAAAAAGGAGAGCTATAGGCAGAGTTTCCATCCCTGGTTGTCCTTTCTCTTTCACAGAGCACCTGTCAAGGCCTAAAGTCACCATGGGTTTGCAGAGCAATAAGAATGGCACCTGTGTGACCAATCTGACATGCTACATGGAACATGGGGGAGAGGATGTGATTTATACCTGGAAGGCCCTTGGGCAAGCAGCCAGTGAAACCCATAATGGCTCCATCCTCCCCATCTCCTGGAGATGGGGAGAAAGTGATATGACCTTCATCTGCTTTGCCAGGAACCCCATCAGCAGCAACTCCTCAAGCCCCATCCTTGCCAGGAAGCTCTGTGAAGGTAACTGCCTCTCCCCTCTCCACAGGAGCCTCTTCCCAGAACCTACACCTTCTTCAGCTCATGACCCCCATAGCAACAGGCACTGTATGGAAACTGGAGGCCACTGGGTGGTCACTGGGCTGGGAGGAAGGTAGCAGGTGCTCCAAAGGCTGGGTTGTTTTTCTGAGCTGACTTTTCTCCCTTCCCCATACCTCTACCCATTCTCTCTTTAAAGGTGCTGCTGGTGACCCGAATCCTTCCACGATCCTCCTGTGTCTCCTATTGGTGCCCTCCCTGCTCACTCTGTTTGCTCTGGGGCTATTTATTTGGTTTATAAGGAGAGAGAGACAAGAAGGTACAGTGTGTACTGTTTTTTGTCCTTACCCCTATTCACGCTTTTCTCCTTCATTGATTCAAGAAGCACACATAGAGCTGTATGCCAGACTTGGCATGAGGTGTTGAAGATACAGAGATAAGGAACCCACAGTCTCCGCCCTCAGGAAGCACACAGTCAGCCCGCACTCCTTAGTTCTAGAGTAGAGAAATGCTGGAGGCCTTTCCTGATGACACGATTCTCCTAGTTCCCTTTCCAAGGCCCAGTTCTCTCCTTCTCCCAGAGGGACATCCTGATGTGGCTCTTTTGTTGATACCCACATTGCTGATTGCTCCCCTGACCTGGGAGGTGATGGCCTCCAGCTCTGAGGTCCCCACAGATCAGCATCTTCCAGTCAACCCTTCCTATCCCTATCCCTGTCAGAGCCCACCTACTACTCCCACCCTGTCCACAGGATCAACTCGAGACCTCGCTTTACTACCCACCTCAGTTTACACACACAGCTCCTGGAGAAGCCCTTCCCTGTCTCTCTCCATCCGTACCCTGTGCTGTGTTCCTAAACCCTGCTGATTGGTCTTCTGGGTTCCCACCATCCATGTGGGTGATGGGGAGGAAGCTAACATCGGTTAGGTATGACCTGTAGACTTTGAAATCTCCCTTCCCTCCTGGAAGCCCCTCTGAAAATGTGTTTGACTATCTCTGCTTCCCACTTTGACCACCTTGATCCAGAGATCAGGAAGTGAAGTGATCCCATAATAGGGTGGCCAATGCACCCTGTTTTGTTCAGGATTTTCCCAGTTTTAACACTGAAAGTCCTCTGTCCTGAAAACCCTTCCGTTACAAGGAAACTGGAATGGTTGGTCACCCTAAATGGGTCATCCAGGAGAAATGGTGGGTCAGTGGGAGTGGCGAGTGGTTGGAGAGATGGCATTGATTCTCTCCCAACTTGCTTTTAGAGTCCATTGAAGAGAAGAAGAGAACGGACATTCGTCCGGAAACTCCTAACTTATGCCCCCATTCTGGAGAGAACACAGAGTACGACACAATCTCTTACCCTAATGTGAGTCCCTTCTCATCTTTCCTGGGGACTGATCCTCTCTATGAGTCTCTCCTTGTGAGGTTTTTCCATGGGTTTGGGCAACATGGGAATGAAGAGGGGAGTGAGGACATATAGCCTTAAAGCCCAAGGCACTTGTGCCTCCTCCAAGTCTTCATGGACTCTATTCTGTGCAGAAGCAGCTGGTGGTCTCTGGAGCACCTGGTTCTGACTCATAATGCTCATGCTGTGATCTATGAAGTCACCTGCTCCCCCTCCACAGTTCATAGCGGCCACGCAAAAGGCCAGATTCCTTTTGCATAAGGAAGTGTGTAGAAGAGTGTGACTTTGACAGGATGTTTGAATCATGATGTCAGAAGACTTCTCTAAAGATGCCTCTTCCCCTGAAGTGATGCAAGGAGCCATCACGAGAAGGACCAGGGCACTTGTGGTGACTCTGGGTCCCCACTCAAGGCATTGCAAGTGGAGGTCACTGAGTGAAGTGAACGAACACGGTTCATTCAAAGCAGTCTCCAAAAAGAAAATCTTAAGAATAAAGTTTTAAGAAACTCAAATAACAAAAGACAATTTGGAGAATGAAATAAGTAGACAACTCCAAACGGCTCCCCAGGGCCAATCCAATCACTGCAGCCCAGGCTGGGCTAGCTCTTTAGAGGTCATAGAGCCCTTTATCACAACAGCCTATGTAGTGAATAAATAAAAATACTTTGGATCTCAAAACCCCAGTTTTACTCAAACCTTTTGTTCCTCTCAATCAGGCTGCATCTTCCTACATTTGCCTACAACATTTACCCACATTTACGCCCTACAAAGAGGAAATGTTACCAAAGTCATTAGTATTCTGAGCACTCTTTCATTTCTCACAAGGGAGGCTGCTTTGTGCTCCATTTAACTGGTTTAAATCAAAATTTATCTCTTTATTGCCGTGTTCTTTCCTCCCCTGCTTAAGATACATCCCCAGAGGGCTTTAGGACTGCCCTGGGTGTTCAGGAATAGACTTAGCCAACCCAGGATGTTTACCGGTGGTTGGGAAGGAGTTTTCGTTCTTGTTATTCTTGTTTTATTTTGTTCCGTTAGTCATCTATACCGATTTTCTCCACGGGCCCTTTGACCGTTGGGAAAGTTTATTTGCAGCATTAGTAACATTACTTCAAATTATCCTTTAGTCCTTTTAGGAGACTCATAGCTAATGAGACTTGTATATGTATCTTACATATTTTTGAGATTCATTTAAACACGTTACAGTTTAAAAATAATGCAATAGCTTCCTGAAAAAAGTTACCAAAAATTATTATAATAGCAGTCGCCAATAAGAGAACTTCCTACTACCCCTCCCTGTTCCAGAACCTTCCTTTCCCTTTCCCCATCTCCTCCCATCCCAGCTTTCCCCTCCCTGGATTCTGAATGTCTCTCTGGCCTTGCCTATGTGACTCAGGAGGAGGGTGATTATTTCTTTTGTTTGTTGTTTGTTTTTTTAATAGAGAACGATCCCAATGGAAGATCCAGCAAATACGCTTTATTCCACAGTGGAAATACCAAAAAAGGTAAGACGCTTTAGAGCTGAATTTCATCTTAATGGTTCCATTTCTTTTCCTGCTTCATATTTAGGTCAAAATTTCTTGGGCCCCAGGGATTTCATATTCTCTGGTATTAAAAAGTACCCTAGTAGTTCCCCATTCCCTTTGCTTAGGGTAATATGAGAACATGGGGATGGAAGAGAATTGTGTTTCAGGAGTCGAACTGGGCAATCTGAAGCAAATGGAGTAGGAAAGAGGTTCTAGATAGGAATGATAGAGAAAATCAAAAGGCTTCTGACTGAAGTTATAGATGAGGAAGAAGACCATGGGTTAGGTTATGCATGGAATGAAGAGAGGAATAGCTGAGGAAGAGACTCCAGCTTGCTCCTGAGCCGACAGTAAACTGTAGGGGAGAGAGATTTCTGCTTTTCACCTGCAGTCCAACTATGTTACGTATGCTCAGTTAAACTACTAATGCAGTAGATTTAACGCTTATTCCTTCCCAAGATATGGTTGGCAGAAGTAATGATACCTTTCTGTCTCCTTTCTCGTCCTCTCCCAAACAGATCCAAAAATATAAGTACCATTAAAGCAATTTTCTTAGTAATAAAAAATGTTCGTTTCATGAATTATTACAAGAAAAGTTCAGTTCATTAAGCATTCAACAAGATAAATATGGGTTAAATGTAAAGAATAGTTTCTCTAAGCTAGGGGTGATTAAGATTAACCAGTGGGAGCCAGCGTGGCAGCCGATTTGGGTTGGGTAACCTTGGAAATAAAGTTTCCTGGATGCCAGGGTCTCCATGGAAGATCCAGAGCCCTGTTCACCTCCCTCACTCTCCTTTCTTATTTTCTGTTTTCAGATAGAAAGTCCCCACTCACTGCTCATGATGCCAGACACACCAAGGCTATTTACCTATGAGAATGTTATCTAGACAGCAGTGCACACCCGTAAGTCTCTGTCCAAAAAAAACAAGTCTCAGCCCAAAGAAAACAATCAAAAGAATTCATTGATTTGACTAGAAACACCAAGGAAGAATGAAGAATACTGACTTTTTTCCAGGATAAACTATCCTTGATGTTCCTTTAGATTTGAGAGTTCATAATTCCATCCACTGCTGAGAAATTTCCTCAAACCTAGAAGGTTTAACTATCTCATTCCCAAAATGGAATTGTGAATTTTGTCAGCAAAACACAAGAAAGTGCTTAGAAGTGGTCCTATAAAAATGTAAATGCCGCATCACACATATTAATGACAGCCTGTCATATTAATGAAGACTCCAGGTCAGTGTCTGGAGTTTCATTCCCTCCCAGGGCTTGGAAATCAGGATTATAACAGCAGTCTTGCTACCAGGAGAGTAAGAAGGCCAAAACAGACCAACATGTACAGCAGAAGCAGAAGCACCTGATAAAAATGGATGTATTTATCGGCTCCAAAAACTATGTGCCTTAAGGGCCGGGCACGGTGGCTCAAGCCTGTAATCCCAGCACTTTGGGAGGCCGAGGCGGGTGGATCACGAGGTCAAGAGATCGAGACCATCCTGGTCAACATGGTGAAACCCCGTCTCTACTAAAAATACAAAAAATTAGCTGGGCATGGTGGCGTGTGCCTGTAATCCCAGCTACTCAGGAGGCTGAGGCAGGAGAATTGCCTGAACCCAGGAGACGGAGGTTGCGGTGAGCCGAGATCGCACCATTGCACTCCAGCCTGGGTAACAAGAATGAAACTCCGTCTCAAAAAAAAAAAAAACAAAAACAAACAAAAAAAAACTATATGCCTGGTACTATGCTCAGCTTACACTAATTGATCCGACATGTTCTTTGCTCTCATGAAATTGGCTCCAAATGAATGAACTACTTTCATGAGCAGTTGCCACAGGCCTGACCACAGATTCCCAGAGGGCCAGGTGTGGATCCACAGGACTTGAAGGTCAAAGCACACAAAGATGAAGAATTCAGCGTAGATGATGTTTGGAAGATACTATAATGGAGACACAGAAGCATGCATGGCCCAAGGACAATGACCTCAAGCCAGGCTTCATTCAGGCACTTGCACTGCAAAAGAAAAGCCTACATCTAAAGGCTGTGCCAGAGTCCATCCCATTAAAGAGATGGAGTCTAAAGTCACATTTTAAATCTAATATGGGAGACTTAGAGTCAAGCTGTAGAGACTGGTGGGGCACGCGGGGCAGTGATTACTTGTAAACCGTTAAAGATAGCTAATTCATTCAATAAATATTTATTAAGAACCTATGAGGCTGGGCACAGTGGCTCATGCCTGTAATCTCAGTACTTTGGGAGGTCAAGGCAGTTGGATCACCTGAGGTCAGGAGTTCAAGACCAGCTTGGCCAACATGGTAAAACCCCATCTCTACTAAAAATACAAAAATTTGCTGAGTGTGGTGGTGCGCACCTGTAATCCCAGCTACTTGGGAGGCCAAGGCAGGAGAACCGCTTGAACCCAGGAGGCGGAGGTTACAGTGAGCTGAAATCATGCCACTTGCACTTCAGCCTGGGAGACAAGAGTGAAACTTCATCTAAAGAAAAAAAAAAAAAGAAGAACCTATGCTACATCAGTCTGGCACATAAGATGAACATCCCTGCCAACGTAGAGCTCACCATCCCTTTACTTAAGTGAAAAACATGGGGATGGGGAAAGGGGGATGGCTGCTTTTGATGCGTTCCCCGACACGTATCTTGAAGGGAGAGCTCCCAACAAAGTGTTGAAAAAACTTAAAAACGTGCTTGTTGGGCAAGAATGGGATTGAGATTATCTTCTCTCAAAAAGGCCTTGTGAAGGAACTGAGCCAGATCCCTTCCCTTACTCCAAAACCCTACTGTAGTAGGCCCCCTCGCAAAAAGTCTTCTTAACTGTCTTAACAAAATAGGTATTGTGAAATTCACATACAGAAAGATGCATTATTTTGCTGTTTGCAATAGTGAAATTCTGGAAACTGCCTAAGAACCTGACCACCACAGGTAAAGGTCTGTTCACACACAGACATTAAGAATTACGGGTTAGACTGGGTGCGGTGGCTCACGCCTGTAATCCCAGCACTTTGGGAGGCCGAGGTGGGCAGACTACTTAAGGTCAGGAGTTCCAGAACAGCCTGGCCAACATAGTAAAATCCCATCTCTTCTAAAAATACAAAAAAAATTAGTCGGGCATGGTGGCAGGCCCCTGTAATCCCAGCTACTCAGGAGGCTGAGGCAGGAGAATCTCTTGAACCAGGGAAGGGGAAGCTGCAGTAAGCCAAGATTGTGCCACTGCACTCCAGCTTAGGTGATAGAGCAAGACGCTGTCTCAAAAAATAATAATAATTGTGAGTTATATTCAGCATCATGAAATAAACCCATGTAACAAACCTGCACATGTAGCTTCCGAATCTAAAATAAAATTTAAAATAACAATTTTTTAGCATGTGCCTGTGATCCCAGCTACTCAGGAGGCTGAGGCAAGAGAATCTCTTAAACTTGAGAGGTGGAGGTTGCAGAGAGGTGGAGGTTGCAGTGAGTCGAGATCGCATCACTGCACTCCAGCCTGGGTGACAGAATGAGACTCTGTCTCAAAAAAAAAAAAAAAAATTTGTAAAAAAATCTATGGGTTGACCAAGCATGGTGGCTCATGTCTGTAATCCCAGCACTTTGGGAGGCTGAAGCGAAAGGATCGCTTGAGCTCAGGAGTTCAAGAACGGCCTAGGCAACATGGCAAAGCCCCATCTCTACAAAAAATACAAAAATTAGCCAGGCATGGTGGTGCATGCCTGTAGTCCCAGCTACTCAGGAAACTGAGGTGGAAGGTTTGCTTGAGCCTAGTAGGTTGAGGCTGCAGTCAGCTATAACGGTGCTACTGCACTCCAGCCGGGGCAACAGAGTGAGCTTATCTCAAAACAACAACAACAACAACTATGGGTTGTAAAGTTAGGAAATGTTATGACACCACAAATTTTAAAATTAGAATGCAAAATTTAATGTGTTCTACGATTACAGCTGTGTTTAAAAAAAAAATCTACGCGTGGAAAAATTTGGAAGAAAAAAACATCAAAATAGTAACCCCAGTTGTTGCGGCAGATGAAAGCTTAGGTGGCTTGGTTTTCTCCTGTTTTTCTTTATTTTCTGAATATTCCTTAATGGGAAAGTAGGTCTTACATAATAGAGTGGAAGAAGTTTTAAGTAGATGTTCGGTGAGGAAAAGGAGGTGCTACCCACTACGTGGGGTTGAGGGGAAAGTCTGAGACCCCCAGGGTGAGGGTGCGGGGGAGGATGGAAAGACCTCCTCAAGTGAGAATGGGTGGGGAGAAAGGAGGAGGCCCTCCGCGCGATGACACAGGAAAAGATGACTTTTCCCCAGAGAGGGCTGCTAGAGGCTGGGGGAGCTTCACAGTGTGTGAAGACAGAGGCGTGGAGAGGGGGACACTGGGCCTGAGGATGCATCTGTTCTGCCTTCCCCTCTCTCCTCAGAGCCCATTCAGATAGTAAACAATTATACTTTGGGGTTAATCATACTTTGGGGCTTTTTTAACCAGTGACTGAAACAGGACCTAGGAAGACCAATAGATCTGGAGTCTGGACACTCAGTAAATTCTGTCCCAAAGCTGGCTGCTTCCCGTCATGGGCTCAACTAGCAGGCAAAGGAAACCACCAGCTCTTTAGGGGTGAGAAGTCACATCACCTCACAGCCCCATCACATGCAGCCCCCAAAGCTGTGTGGTTTGAAAGCTGTGAAGTGTGAAGAACAAATATGTAAACAGTGAAACCTTGCCGAGAAAGTAAATAAGTTATCTGTACCATTTCAGTAAGGCTTCCACTCACTCATTTGATCATGCATGCATTCATGCATTTATTCATTCAGCAGTACTAACTGAGCACCACTGCGTGCTGGGCATTTTGCTGAACTCAGGGAATACAGCAGTGGGCCACAACACAGGTCTCTGCCCTCAGGGCACTTACATTCTAATGACAGAGGCCAAAGCTCAAATATCCTTTAAATAATATGGCTGCAGTGATGACTGCTATGAAAGAGAGGTGTGTGGTGCCAAGAACGGCTAATTTTCCTGTGGTCGGAGACCGTATCTCCAAAGTGGTGAAGATCAAGCTGAGATCTGAAGATGAGTAGGAGCTACTTACAAGAAGTAGGGAGGGAAAATAAAACCCTTCTAGCCAGAGGTGAGGCCTTGTGGTGAGAAGACATAAAAGAATGAAACTCAGTGTAGCTGGCAGAGAAGGCTGTGCTTTTAAAATTTCATTAGTTGCAGTATGGAAAACAGACTGTAGGGGGTCAAGGCTGGATGTAGGCAAACTAGTCAGAAGGCTCCTACAGTTATCGAGCAGATAGGTGATGGTACGCTGGACAAGGATGGTAGGATGGAGAGGGAGAGGAAAGGATGCTCTCAAGAGGTATCTAAGGGATAAGGAGGTTTCTGCTTTCAGTACTGTCTTGGGGCTGTTTGCTAATCTGGAAAAGGAGGTGGGAAGATAGGCCTTTCTTTTGATAGCCTCTTGGGACTAGAAGGACAAAGTTTGGAGTCTGGGACTACCAAGGTTAGAGAACTGTTAAAACACTCACCTTTTTGACCTGGAACCCCAAAAGACTTACCCTAGGAGACTTACCCTCCTTGTAAACAAGAAGTACCCCAGTTTTAAGTCATCTATGCAGCCAAGAAAATCTCAAAACTGGTAGTAGATTAAAGACATCTAAGCTTATTAGTGTCTACAAGTACACTAAGCAAACAAAGACCATCGCTAAAAGAAAATAACATTCTTAGGTCTCACATTTTTCCTACAAATAATTTTTCATAAGCAACGTTCATCATATGTTCAGAGATATCCAGGCCCATGAGGAGATAAGACCTATAAGCAAGACCCTCCTGGTGGGAAGAGACTTTCCCAGACTGCAGCCCAGGATGTATCCTGGCCACTTCCTTCTCATTTCATACCAAGAAGATGGAAGGAGGAAATGCAAACCTCCTCAGTGCTGGGGGAAAAAAGGCTGACACATAACCTGCTTATCTGGCACAGGATGGGAGTTAATGGAAGGCCATGCCCTGTGCTCAAAGCAAGGAAGACCTCTTTGAAGCATGACAATGGGGCCAGACTTGCTGGCTCTAGCTGCAGCCTCTTCCCTAGCTGTTTACTGATTGTATCTAAAGTAGAGCATGCTCTATACCTTCAAAGGAAATGCCAAACCGCCACAGCTATAGACCATCTGCCTGATGCTTCACTTCCTTTTCGCCCCCACATTCCTGTCCACATGCTCGTTTGTTTAAACACTCAATAAATAGTGTGGGGCTCTAGTGCTTGGGGCCTTCACATCCTCCTACTCATGTGGGCCCCCTGGGAGCCCACCTTTAGGCACTCTTACTCTTGTCTCTTAATTTTCTTTGTCTCCCTTGACCTTCGTTACTTCCTAGGTTTTGGCTGGGCTGGTTCCTTGACACCTCAGTTCATGGATCTGTAGGCAGACTTTAAAGATGTTTTGAGTTCTGTCTGACTATAG